CCCCCCCCCCCCCCCCCCCCCCAACCCCTCCCCTTCGCTCGTTTGTAGATGCGCGCACCAAATTCCAGGCGACTCGGACGACCCTCTTGCCTGTCACTGTGGCACTCTGCCACAGGTATGAGTGGAGTAGATTAGTAGGTGATACTCTAATCCAAAGCTGTGCTTCAATGATAGGCACCATTGTCGTCCGAATCGCCTCAAATTTTGCCTGCGCAGCAGCTCCTAACGGGCGAAAGTACACATACTCTAACCTTGCTTGAATACATAACTGTCATACATACATACCACCCTACAAAGCACCTCGGGCAAGGGTAGGGGTGGGGAATGGTGTAGCTGGATGATCGTGGCACAGAACGATAACTCACTCGTTCAAGTCAGGGTTAACAGACAGTTGGGACACCGTAAGGGCTGGTTCCCATGCTGGGTCTTCGCTTCTAGCTATTTCCGTATGATAGCTGCAGTCAGAAATTGGTTTTTAGGTTGCGGTATATTTTCATGGTCAAGTAAACCATTTTTCAGAGCTAACCCCTCAGTGACATGTTGTGTGTATAACATCGTTCTTTTTCATTTCAGCGCAGTAACGAAGTACATGCTGAATCATCCCTACACCCATAATCGCCTTCTGAAATTCCCGTCGATGGAAATATCAGGTCGGCAAGCGCTTTTTCCAATAAGCGGAAAATCGTACGATTGCCTATTAAATTATTATGTTTTCTATTATTTGACCTATTATTGCCTGTTGCATAGTATGTTTTCTGTGATGAAATACCAGTCCAATTGTTCGAATCTAGTTTGATTGTTATTGCAGTACCGTTCCTAGTTGTTCTATTCGTGTGAATTGAATTGTGGGGGTTTCTGGCATGCTTTTCTCCTCGTTTTGTTTTATTTTTTGATGCAAGCAACAGTAACATCTAGTGAAGAGCTTATCAAGCTATATGGATTGATTGGTTGTGCACGCATAAGCAGTACGGCTTAGCAGGGCCTTTGTCAGTTTAATAGCAATTAACAAATAAGATAATTAAGATTCTACTCCTACTAACGTACCCTTCTCTAGCTTCCCTTTCGCTTAACAAATCCTTTCATTTGGAGTGGACTTTTCTCAAGCATGTCTAGTGATCCTGCCGTGCAGCGGCGAGGTTTGTGTCTCTAATCTGTTTTGGCGGCCTAATAAAAAGTTTTAAAAAGTGCAGTCGTGTGAACAGTTTACTAAATGTCGCGCGTCCAGCATGGTTTGTTAATCGCAGAGTGTTTTTTTCTGTTCTACGGTTGTCCAGTACGCTACTACGGCCGACCAATCCTCTAGCATTGTCTTACTTTGACTTTGTTATGTACTTTTTGGGACAGACAACTTCCAAAGCGTTCTGGCAGTTTGCGATTTGCGCCAGCGTACGTAGGCAGCAGTTCTTCTCGACATTTATTGATTGAAATGTAGTTATGATGATTCGATATATGCATTGCCAATTGTGTATAAATATTTCATTCTGTATATTTTTGTAAGTACGTCGATACGATACGTTGACGTTGTCATACGTAATCGATGGCGTTATTGATTGGTTTTTTGTACTGTTACACGGCAAGTGCCCTTTCACAATCAAACAAACGGCCAGATAGCTGCCACACAACATGGTTGCGTGGAGAGAAGCTGGCATCACCTATGTGCGATATTCGCAGATTGCAGCTCAGGTGACAAGGCAATGTACGAAGGTGAGCGTATAAGAATGTCATTTCCATGTGTGGTTTACAGAAAGGCAATCGGAGAATCCGTAAAAGGATATACGTACATACACCAAAGATTCGGGTGCCTATGGGTTTTTGTGGAACTCAAAGTAACGGAGTCATTCAAATCGCCACTTTTTCTTTTGCAACCCTTCTCCTTCCTTTTCAATTCTCCGATTGATTTTTACATTTCCCACGTTGTGTTCAGAAATATCTGGGTGAAATTTTGAGTTCAATAGTATTTATTTTCAGTGCGCTTTAAGTGATAGTAGTTTTGATATTTATGTCGGAACTTAGAAGTGGAAGAGACGAAGAGATGACTACTTGAATGTGCTGGCTATCTTTTTGCTTTACTTTAAGTTTAGTAAATGTCTGCAATAGTAACTGGCATTTTATCCACCTTAACAGTGCTGCCAGTATACAGGTGGGCAAAATGACACCCTCATGAGAAAGGATGCTGTATGCATTAAACATTTCATAAACCTCATGGTTTTCTATGAAATCACGTACCGATATCGGATTATTTCACGTAAATAAAGGCTCTAGAAGCTTTTTCTCAAAACTAATCTTTTCTCAAGGAGTTTCTAATCTATCCTGAAGTAGCTAATGGATGGTATATCTAAACGTGAATTTTGTTTAGTTTGTAGATAGTGGTATAGTGTAGACACTGTGCACGGCACAGTAAACCTAATTGCATTGCTTTGCTCCCATTCGTACAAAAATGGATATCTCTTTATTTTTGCTTTCACTTATTGAATTGGAACACCAAGGTGGATTTTTGATTGCTCAAGAGAGTGATTCGTTTTCAAGTTTCTAAATCGGAGATGCTTGGGAACACGTTCAAAACTTGTCCCCTTCAACCTTGTATGCCAAAGACACTGGTGAGATACTGCAGCATTTTACTGACTCATTGGGCCTACTTATCTTACTGTCTTTATTATATGCACACATTGAGTAGGTGGATGAGCTGACAGTTTAACGGCTGTGTGCAATACTTTAGGCTAAACTCCTTATTATCGTAATTTCGCTGGACTGTCGTTTAGGTTGTGGTGGATTAACTCTCGCTTTATGAGAAACTTCAAGAATTCCTAGTTTTTCTTTTTTCAGAAGGTGGCGGAAACTGCAGAGAAAGGCAGGAAATACAGTCGTGAGCCTACTCTGAAGATAGCTGTTTGGCAAAATGGAAAGCCTATCGAGACCAAACAAGAACAAGGCAACAAATAAGCACGCCAAGCTTCCAAGAACAACGGTAACAGTCTGTCCAGGATCACCGCAGGAGATAGAAATCAAGATTTCCGTCAATTCAACTCTTTGTTGGCCATGCGCTTGTAGAATCCTAAGTAGATTGAGTAGTATAGAACATTAAGTCTTATTGTAGAGTGCATAGGGCGGTATGCCACCAACAGTATTACTAAAGGAAGTAATAACAATGTTGGCGACTCCTCCCTGTCCATTCTTGCATGTGGATCTATAACGTTTTCTACTTTCTTTGTTTCTGAAGCGAGAATCCAATAAAAGTAGGCGATCAGTTTTTTCGTAGTTTTGACATAACACCAATTACTGCTCTTCTAGAAGTGTGATTGATTACAGCATCTCCATGATACCTCTAGTTCGTTTCTAATGGCGTAGGTCCACAGGCTTAGATGTTGTCCTAGTATAGAAGCTGAGTGCATGACTAATTGGTGTATGTAGACTGATGAAGAAGGCCGCTGATACGCCATGGTCAAAAGTAAACACTGATACCGTTGAACTAGCATTCCATGACCATCAATTTTATTCCATGTTAAGGAAAGTGAGATACGCTGTATAGAACGTGACCAATCGGAAAGAGCATCGGAAAATTTCTCGCTTGCGACTTCCTACAGAAAAGGCAATCAATCGGAAGCGCTCACTGTGAAAAATTCCAATGGCCTCAATCACTTTTCAATAACTTTACACCGAATAGAAAGTTCAATCTTGAAAGAATGTAACTGGGTGGCCTGTGATAAGCAAAGATCACAGTTTCTGTCATTTTCGAATTTCGAAATCGTGGGTTTCGCTCTTCAAACTTTTGGCCAAGAATCTTCCACTAGCAGTGGCCTTGTCCGGACCCCATTGTTCCTTCCTTTTGCGGATAGAAAATCTCATCCCATCAATTTATGATACATTGCAACCTCTCAGTGGATGGGAGCATTACACAAAGGCAAGGCAGACGAGTAACGGCTACTGCCTCGACAACGCTGTAGTGAGTTTTGAAAAAATTAGTTCTGAGGCGCGTAGGCCGGCAGGAAAGTTGTGCGCAATGTGGGCAGGAAAGTTTAGCGGTGTAGCGATTGTTTTAGAAAAACGCTGCTCTAGTAACAAAATAGCATCATCTGGCTGTTTATTACCTTCGATATTCATAGGCTTGACTTAGTACAAAATTGATAGTTTGAAGATTTTTCGAAACCTCCACCTGAAATCAGCCCAGTTATAAGGATGATCCTTCATTTTGGTGAGAATAGTAATCACCACAAGCCGTTACAAAAGCGTCAGACTACTATGTTGCTACATCAATGTCTATGGGATTGCTAACCTATGGTATCGTCATTACGCCATTACCGTGAATGTCCTGCTCATGAGCTCGTTTTTGATTTATGAATCGATGACTGGTAGCTGATTGCCCCTGGATCTCCCATTCCAGACGGCTCCATCCACCAAAACCAGATAGGGCGTTTACCTCGCGCTTGTATGTGATCTAGCCATTAAATCACGTTCATTTGCAAATTCGTGCGAAGTTTTATAATTACAAGCGAATGAGTTGAGCTATGTTCCATTCTATACTTGTTGGCTATTAAATGCTGAACGAACCACTTCTGGCGAAGTTGAAAGATCCCGGAATCTCGGAATATCTTATTGGTTTGTTGGAGTAACATCCTGTGATCTAGACTACAATTATAAACTTTTATGAGCATGAACTTTCGTTACTTTCGTAGAACTCCTATTCCAAACCGTTGATTAACCCGTTTTTCTCCCGAACTGGCATTGTTGAGGGGGAATTCCTGAAGTAGACGCTCAAATCATGCATGAAACGATGTTGGCTCTTGAGTTAGGCAATCGTAAAACATTCCCCTCCACAATGGTCGGATGAATCATGTTTTCCATTCTTTTGGGCAGATGTCAGAGGAGCTGTCTCTGAAAAGGNTCAGGGTAGAAATTTCCCAGCCGTGCAAACCGTCAGCCTAATTTTACCCGTTCAAGCGGATTCAGTGTACCGAACTCCTGTCTTGGACTTGAACACGACCCGCCATTCATTCATATGTCTCCAGAGATGACTCAGAATTGATACGACTTGACGAAGATCACATTCAACTCTTGATCTGAGTCATGCTTGTCCTCTTCGTCTTCCTCGTTTCATGGCCAGCCGTTCACCAGCCAACATTTGTACATAACGCCGCTATTCACGGAATTCTACGGTTTACATAGTTTTCCTCGTAAAATCGGCTTCTTTCTCCTTGACGATCCCCAAACTCGGATTCTTAGAGTGCAGCTGCTCAATTTCAAATCTGTCGAACTTGTTTATCCCTATTCATTTAGTTTATTAGAGTTTCCCCGTAGCGAATAATTGGTGAAGGAGTATGCACTTCAGTGATCTTGATGCCATCACAATTTCTACTTTCTTTCTGATCAGCTCAGACTGGGAATTCAGAAAGTCTTTTCATTGACTTCAAGGAGTGTTATGTTATCTTCCAAACAAGTACGGCACAAATATAGGTTGGAACATAAGTCTCGCAACACTTTGGAAGAGTTTTCGAGTTTTATATTTGTTAATTTCATTAATATTCATTTTGTAATTTTATGATTTGATGTTTTTTGTTAATATTCACGTTTTATTAATTTCACACTTGGAAAGGGCTTTGGTTTTGTCCTGTAGAACATGTTCAAGGTGTTGTAGGACTTATCTTCCAACCTAATAAAGCTGACCTGAGAAAGCGCGAAGATTGAGACCAGGCGAGGGACGATTCCTGGATCATGTGGAGATAATAGCGACATGCGTTGCTAAGAACATCAGTTTTCTATAGCTGGATAATGATAACCTAAAAAGGTTCAGTTCACATAAAAAGGACTTCCAGAAATCATTGCTCCATTCCAGTAGTTTTAGTAAAGTCATTCTCTCATGGTCTGCAGTGAATAAGCGGCTGAGCTGAGTGAACAAATGTGTAGAGGGATTAGGCTAAGAAGCTCCAATCAGTTATTTCAAAAATAACAGGACTGGGGCTTCTTACCCTAATCCCGCTACACCTTTGGTTTCATCTCAATTACTTTTATACTACGTCAGCTTCTATGTGTTGATCATAAACAATTGAATGGGCATAAATAGAAATTCATTCACCAAGGCAGCTCTCTATGCTCTAATATAACTAGGTGGAAATTGGCTGGAGTTATTCTTGGTTATCTTTTTGTATTGCTAAGTTATTGGCTTTTTGTCTCCGCCCAGTTTTTTTCCCGCCCAATTTTTTTTTCAAAACTTACTATCTTTGCTAAAAATTTGCATGCCATCTATACATCATAATTAAGTGAATAAATTTGATAGAGAATGTATTGAGCTACAGTAACGAATGAATAAAGTTGTCTTCATTGATCAAATCATAAAAAAAGTAATTGAATTGGGGTACCGCAGCATTCGGTGTTGTTAGGCGCACAGCATGAAGAAAACTCAAGATCCGATTCAAAAAGATATGTCAAAGGATCCATTTAGGCTGTGCTTGACAGTGTCCCTGGATACTACCAGACTTATTGTTACTGTAGGAAATCGATATTGTACTACAGATGTTTCGAGAACAGGCATCAATATGTTTGTTTGTACACGAGGAATTCGTACATTCGTACATGTACATGAGAAAAAGTTGCCTGTGTTTGATTGATTGGGAAATACTCGAGAAATTTTCAGAGAATGGCATATTCCAGTTTTGAAACAAGATTCCAACTCCTCCAGAAACCCTCTATACGAGATCCTTCTGCATACAGGTTCCCACTGCACAGGCAATTCTAAACAGGCAGTTCAACCTTTTTGGCTTGATTCTGTTGGTTTTTTCGTTCTACCACTCACATTCTTCGGCTTCTTTGACGTTTAAGCGATCCACATAGCTGTCCAAAAAGGGGAACGGTTCTTCATTAGGGAATTTCAATAGGTAATAGGGGCGGAGGTGGTGTATGTAGTGGCAATTGGCATAACACATGGTCACGGGTTCAAATCCTGTATCCATATCCGCCTAAGCCTATCAAGCTCCCATCCCTCCGGGGTCGATCAGGTGGTACTGTACCAAATGGTGCGTTACTGCATACATGGTGGGGGATCGAGCCTGGATGATACTAGCCACTCAAGCTATTCATTGTGGAACAACTCATTAAGTAATACCATACTTGTTTAGTAGGTCAAAAGCGCTTACTTGTACACCGCTGGCCCCAAAGGCCACTGCATATGGGGTCAAAAATATGTAAATACAAACGGCGTTACAATAATTCTGAATGTAGAATGTGTGAGAACCTTTTTTGTAATGCTGAATAATTGGCTCTAGTTGATATTTACTGTTATTGCTCAAATTGTTTTTCGATTTTTTTTTGCTTTCATTTGTTCTATAATTTAGAATTACTCCAGAACCATAACCCTCTCTCCCACCACACCACCC